AAATTGTGATAATAATTTCCAGATATTTTACAGTCGTTTCGACTCGGCGATACCACAATGGTTTATATTCTATTAAATATTATTCTAGAGTACCCGTGCGAGAACTATCGCGTGTTAATCCTCACCGATGGCACCTAGTACCTTCAATTAATGGGGGTCTGCATGCAAAAATAAAAAATGAATATATATATATATATATATATATATATATATAGTTAGTATAATATATGTTCAATAGATTTAGATTTATTTACTAAAAAAAGTAAAAACTGTATGTGACGTATGGGGGGTAATTCAGGTGTAGGTCTACCGCAAACTTTTGTATCCTATTTTCCTTGAAGAATTAAACTTCTAAATTTCACAGCTTTTAAATAATGAACAGGATTACTATCCATATACATTCTAAACACGTGGGGCTAAACCAGTACGTATTTTCTCGCCAATATTGTCACGCGAAATTACGCTAAAGGTACTCAAATTTTCGAAGGATTTTACATGAATTTATTTCAAAATCTATCTTTAAGGAAGAGATTTCAGTAAGGAAAAAATCTCTATCATCAACATTTTAGTTTTAGGAAGACTCCGAAATTTTTTTGAACTTTTGCAATTTTCGAAAAGTCAGGCTTTTTAACGAAAATTAGACCAGCACATTCTCTTAAACGCCCTTCTCATTATCCAATAATGAAATTTAACAAAAAACGATGGAACTTTTTTTTAAAAAACTTTTGAGGTTGTCCCAAGGGCTTTATGCGAAGTACACTCAAAAATTAAAATATCGATTACAAATTCAAGGGTCTGCGACATCAGCCAATCGATTGAGGAGTATAAATTTTGTAGAAAATCGTCTGAACGGTTTAGCCACCAGCGTTGTTCACGGACAGACGGACGGATACGTTTTGCCGTCAATCGATTTTTCGGTATTAACGACCCACAAAACAGATTCTGTCTACACCACGTGTTAGAAAATGTTATTTTTAAATATAGCGACTGTATTTATCCACTTTTTCGTTCCCAGATCCCAGTAATATGAGTTTTTCTGCCGAAAATTCGCCGTTATTTCGCGCACCATTATGTAACGTTCTCTCTACTCCCTAGCCAGAAAGTAAAAATAACAACAGAAAAATACAATATTCAGCACCTTAACTATATCATACGTCCGCCAGAGCTTTAAACATCATGTAAACATCTCGCAAAACTGAAGAACAAATTGCCTTTCCTGCAGCCCCTAGAGCCCCAATATTGAAAAATAATCAGCGGGGAAAGCGAAATCAACTACGCCCATACTTTGTCTAGGCTGGTGAGCATCACTCCGGGCCTGCTTTTCCGCTCTTCCCAGTTTGGGTGTGTGGTAAATGGAAAGGGGAGGTGGGAAGGAATCTCTAGCTACCCCGTACATGACGGTGTTCGGAGAGAAGGGATGGGGGGGGGGAGAAGAGGTGGAATTTATAGATGAGAATTAAATTAGGTTGTCATTGGAGTTAAGAATTTTGTAGCCGATGTCGGGCCCATACTTCGTTGCATGGAGCTGAGACTGGGAGACCCAGGAAGGGAAATGGGATCGCAGCAATACACGGCGAAGCTTTTCGCAAGTTACACACGCACCAGCAGTGGGCTTTATTGGACATGTAATTGAATGAAATATTATTTTGCATATTTCATTTTAATAACAAAGAGAAATATTTTTGACGAGGACGTGGGGGGGGGGGCTGTGGCCCTGCAGCCCATCCCCAGCAGCCGCCACTGATTTCCACCCTTTCGCTATCTTTCTCATTAAGAAGGAAAGTTATTGATGAAATGTGTTTATTTGTTTAATAAATGTATAAATATAACGTCGTACTTACATGTATGAGTTCTTGAGAACAAAGTTACACAATGCAATTGATGTTGAAAATAAATTTTCATTTAATATTTATTCAGTATTATCGAGAGCTTTCGTGGAACAATTCACAACACTTCCTTAAAAATATTTGAAGTAATTTTTCAATATTCTTTGACAGTTCGCTTTTAGTGACAGTCACAAAATATTAATAATAGCTTTTTAGTTTATGAGTAAGCTATGTGACTGAACACGCTGATTTGAAAGTTTCACCGAATCACTGCTGATAACGAAAATACTGGTACATGTAAAACACAAACCAAACCTAACATGACATGTCTTCACTCTTCACTGTATACCCACATCCACCACAATTCCGTACTTGTAGACCTCGGTGAAACGTTAAATTAGTGTTTTCTCCCATTAGAAACAATCTTCATTGAAATCAAGCGACTATTATTAGTACTTCCAGTTGTTGCTGCAAGAGCGAATCTTGAATTAATAATTATGCAAATAAACCTCGTTAGTCTGCTCAAACCTCGGTGTACACAGAAAGCGTAAATGGTATAAGACAGAGGAATCTAAGCCTAAGCGTGAGGTCATAAAGATGGCCACCATCACCAAAGGTTGAGATATAGGTGGCATTACAATATCTCATCCTGTAGATTACAATGTGAGGAACGATTCCCAATGATATTTTCTCAAAACTCAAAGGTTTTCTGTGAAAAAGATCTTAAAATTTCGCAATACCAGAAACGTTTAAACGTCGTTTTCTTAAAAACGGCTCCAAATTTTTCAATACAAATTTTGTTGTAGCCTTTTCTCTTGTTTAGTATTCTTTAAGTCGTATTAAAGTTGTATCATTAGGAAACCAAAAAATTGAGAAAATGTGAAAAAAATTCTTTGGGTGCCGGTAGCTGAGAAGAGGGTGAGACATAACCGAACTAGACATTCTACAACAGCACATGCTTTCTGGCAATATTTCTTAATTGGCAATTTTCGTTAATTCCAAGAAATTCAAAGAAAACGAGACCCGCGCCATTCTTTTAAGAGTGCTTTCTGTATGTGGAAAATATTTGGAGGTATTTTTTATAAATTGATTTAATTTTAAGAACAAATTACGCAGAAAGTAATTGTTTAAGACAGATCTTTATATATCATGTACAATTTTTCGAAAATAAGAGTAGTTTTTGCATGATTTTGCGTGAAATATAGGATATTTTAATTTTTTAAATATTTTTTTCTCAAATAGGCCTCAAATATTGAAAGATTGATAAAAAATGGTGCTACACTGATTTCCAACTAACTCACTGTATTTTCAAAAAATTAACGTTTGTAATCTACAAAATTAAAGGTAAATATCATTGCTTTCAACAAAATACGATCTAAAAATCTTTAAAAAAAATCATGTACAATTTTTTGAAAAACAAGTATTTTTGCATAATTTATGCTTGATATATAATGCTTATCTAGATGAAATAAAATAAATTATTTAAACAAGTCTCTAAAATATCTCCATTTCCATGGATAAAACAAGGACTACTTTAAAAATGGTGCTGGTTTCATTTTAGTTGAACTCTATTAATTATCAAAAATTGAGAATTTAGAAATAATTCCAGAAATTATATGCTGTTGTAGCCCCACTAATTCAGTCAATGGTTAATTTAAAAAAAATAATTGATTGAAAATACTGCCCAGTATTATTCATTTCGATCGTGCAGATCACTTAACAGATTACGCAAAACACGTCTCACAACACTAGCAGAAGCTAACGCAATTAGTGGTACCAGCGATGATCTTTCACCAAATAAAGTGTGCTCTCACGAAGTCACCTTTCACAAAGCCAGTGCAGCACAACTGCAACTCCAGAGCAACGCCTCGTGATCCACACGCCGACATCAGAGCAGGAAGTGAAATGAGCTGTGCGAGATGCGGCGCCGCGCAGAATCCAGACGAGCCTAGGGGATCTCAGGAGCTTTGCAGAAGCAAGGGAGAAATTGCAATCGTCCACCAAAGGAGCATACGGCAGCAATGATCCTGTCGCAGCAAACTCTACAGGCGGGCATTTTGAAGTAACAAAGAACAAAAAATTACAAATGCGTTCGCAACTCAAAGGGGGAGCATATTTTTTTTTTAAATACTCATGTGTAGGGGGTGTCCAGCTCTGCAGTACTCCACTACGAGCTGCAACAGGCTCTCCCAATACTGGGCGCGCGAATACGCTGAAGACTAACCGTTTGAAAACTCGTTTGGAGATTTACTCCTCCGTTGTCAAACTCTCGTGAACCAAAGCTGGACGTGGCGGCCTCGGCGGCGTTGGCCCGCTGGAATCGAAGTGCCCTTTGCTATCGGAATTTATTTGGGGGTAGATAAAAAGAAAATATTATTACTGTCTTATGCTTTGTCTGTCATATTAATAATATAATTGTCAAAATACAGTCGACTCTGGTTATGGTGAACTCAGATATAGTGAATCCTCGGTGATAGTGAACTTAAATCATTGGTCGCGTTTCACTTATAAATAAGCTTAAGAAGACTCGGCTCTAGTGGTCGTAGGAAATACGTCCTGGAAAATAATATATGGCCTCAATGCCACAAATTCTAACACTAGGCAGCTTGAAAAAAATGTTGTCCAAAGGCCATAAAGGTAGGGGAGCTAGAATGGGTACCATACTGAAGATCTTATGCCACTCAGTTTCACTGCGGAAACGAAGATCGTGTCCTGCGTTGTGTGTTGTGCTGCAACTGGCGGCGGCGACGCGCGATTGCTTACTTCAGCATCAATCTTAGTGTTTCTTATATTCCACGGGTCAAAGAGCGTTGTGTTCTACGTAGGCGACAGAAAGCACGCTACTGGACCGTATTTGCATAATTATATTAAAAATGTAAGTTCTGCTACAATCTCAGTAACCTTCCGATTTTGCCTTGTGTACAAAGCAAAATTTATGTAGCCTTAAATAAAAATGTTGATCAAGTAGCCGATTAAACGAGCTACTGGGTGTGGTATTACAGCTTGAAGTGACGTATTTGACACTAATGTGTTAACATAAATCTATTGCATCACAGTCCATTGTGGTGGCATACGTCTTGAACAGAATTATACTTGTTATTTGAGTTTGCCATTTTTTACTTAAAACGACGTTGCATAATTAATATTTATTTTTGACATTGAATATTGTTATAGGTCTTCCTGATGATTCTTTGAAACAACTACAAGAGTCGGAAGTGATCATAGCTGATTACAATTTAATAGCTCCTTATTTGTACTGTTTACCAAAGGCCCGTTGGGTACAAGGAACATGGGCTGGTGCAGAACCCATATTCAAGGCTTATGACGCCTCTAAGGTGAATTTAAATTTCGACAAATAAATGCATTAATGGAATATGCATTAAATGCATAAATATTTTCATTGCCATGTGCACATGGAATTGAAAATATTTAAGTTTAAAGCTAATTTTATATATTAATGTGCCTTTTGCAGCCCCCTCTGCCGTTTGTGATTTCACGTTTTTCAGGGGAATCGTTTGGAGCACAGATGGCAGAGTATGTTGTTGCAGCAGTTGTAAATCGTGAGAGACGTTTCCCATATTTCAGAGAATGTCAGCGCTCTCATTTTTGGGATAAAAATGATATGTTTGTGTTAGATCGCAGCATTCAGGATCTCACATTCACCGTTCTGGGATTGGGCAATATTGGTGATAGAGGTAAAGTGTTCCTTTTTAAATACAAATCAAATTAAAAAATATTTTTAATTTAAAATGAATGCAAATTATTTAATTATTTATATCAAGTATCTTTATTTAGCAAAAAAGTCAATAAAATCAAAATTGAAACGGACGGCTGCGAATGCTCCTCCTGTTGGTAGTGTATGGTGCCATTTATAACACGGTATTAGTAAGGGTTAATGTCGAATTTAATTATTACCTTCGGTTTGATTGCAGCACTGCAAATTACTCCGTATACTGTATCTATCGTAAACTCGCCAAAGTGTTTCGTTCATTTTAAAGTAGTATGTAATTCTCTTTCGAAAAAATATCTATCATTCTGCGTCTTTGAGCGGCGATGTAAAGTAACCAAAAGTGATTTACTTAGCATTTCTGGGGCTGGTATCGGAAAAGAAAATTGTCTGTAATAGAGCTCTCAAAAAATGAAACAAAAAAAGTGCTTGCGGAGACACCGTTTTCCGATGGTCTCTGCTCCCTACTGTAGCAACTCCGGCTTTTTTTCGACCCGATAGTCGTTCCCGGTCTTTTTGTTACTAAAAAATCACACTTCTGCTTTCAAAAGTGCAGAGTTTATGAGAATTGTGTTTCAGAGGTTGATGAAGTACACGAACACTTTCGTATTTTTCATTTATTTGATTATTTTCATTCGTTATTGACTAAGCTAAGAAGATATTTTAATATTTCAAATAAAATTAAAGGCACCGACGCTGTATAACATATGATAAAAAGCTAATTTTATAATTTTTTAAATAAACATTGTACGAGTAGAATACACATATCTGCAAATAATTATATTAAAGCTGAGAAAATAAGGTTCTGAAAAGTGCATAAAGGCAAACAACTGATTCTTATGCTTTTAATATTTTCAGTGGCCTCAGTGCTGCATGCTCTTGGAGCAAGTGTATGGGGAGTTGGGCGCAGTGAAAGAAATACACTTCCACCATATGTACATCAGTACAGGTACGCAAGCTCCACGAGATCTAGTTCCTTTTTTATCTTTCAAAAGATATCAACTCTTAAATAGTGCAAGGGAACTACTAGGCTATGTTATATTACTATACAGATTATATATATATATATATATATATATATATATATATATATATATATATATATTCTATATATAATATACAGACCCAACCTGTATACTATATATAGAATGTCCGGGGAGAAAACATCAAGACTTCGAAGATAAGCTCTTAAACAATTTCAAGTATATATGTTTCCTTCGATATTTCGAATGGCAGTATCGCAATAAGCACTCAAAAGTTGTTTTGAGAAAATACTTTCTATGCCAAAATTTGCTCTTCAGAAACATAAAAACACGCCAGAAACGTAAATTGAATGGTATTTACAAAAGAAATGAATATGTTTGTTTACAACATTAACTCAGAAATAAACTGGTGGTGCTACAGAATAGTACAGACCTTCTCATACTATTTAGTTTTCTAATTCCTTCGGTCTGGACTAGTTTCTTTTTCCTCATCCTCTTGTTGCTGCCATCTATCGCCGCCCAAAGTACATTGTTTTAAAAAATTTCCTCAAATTTTCAGTTGTCTAATGGTAGAACCAAAATATTACTTTAATAATATTATAAGAAGTAAGACCTCGTCTTATATGGGCATTTTCGTTGAAAAATTTGCAGCCGTTTTTACGAAAATGTCGTTTAAGCGTTATTGTAAATACAAAATTTGAAGCTCTTTTACACACAAAACTTTTGAGTATCCAAAAAACTTCATTAAAAGTAATTTCAATTATTTATATATTATCACAAATGCAATAATGTACACAAATCGCTGTAAATGATTAACGGCGTGAGAGATATTTTAAAAAAACTACATATGCTTATTTTTTAGAAAAAACAATAAAAGAGGCAACAAAATATTTTTTGGGTTATCTTATGCAGTGCATTTAGCACAATCATTTTGAAGAAAAAATTGGAGCTGTTCGTGAGAAAATGGAGATTTTGCATTTCTGAAAATACGCAAATTTGATTTTGTTTTCACACAAAACTTGTACGTTTATGATGGTTGTTGGTTATTAGTGATTCCGGGCGCGTCAACTACTGAGGTTATTAATCCGATCAGAAACGAAATCTCTTGGTCCTGTAGCGTCGTGCCATGCTCAAAACAGGACAACCACGTGGAAATCAGCGAAGCATCGCCGGATGTTAAACACAGGGCGGAGTGATGACACACTGGGACTTTCCGTGGAAGTAGCGGGCCCGGAGCGGCTTTGGGGAGGAGGCAATGGGGGGCGGCATGTAGAGCCAAAAGGGCCTATATAAGGCCAGGAGAACAATGCCCCAGTCTTCTTGTTCTAGCGGCGACAGGTGAAGCGCATGTCTGTGCGTGTATGTGCACTAGGGCGAGGGGCCGGCAATTCATTGTCGTGACTTGCGAGACGCGTAGATGGTCTCAAAGTAGAGCGGCTTCATACAGGGAACATCGGTGGTATGTTGCGGTGTGGTAGCTGTTTTTAAATTATCTCTCCTTGTAGTGGGTCTATTTATTTAGTTTATTGTGAGCAGGGTAGTTGTTAAATTGAGACTACGGTCTAGATTGTTAATAAATCTACTGTTTTACAAACCACTCTCGTCTGTGTTCGATTACACCCGTATGACGCCACAGTCCTCCTGTACAAGGGTTGAGACGAAGGGTCTGCACCTCCTCACTCGGGAAAAAAACTACACCTGCAAAATTTCTCAGCAAAGCCTCGGAAAATGGCTATCATAATATACGACGACTTTGTGCTAGGAAAAATACTATGAGAATTGAAACTTGGAATATTCAGGGGCTATCAATCAAAGAGATAGAAATTGGAAAGAATCGGATGGATATTGTAGCAGGGTAGTTGTTAAATTGAGACTACGGTCTAGATTGTTAATAAATCTACTGTTTTACAAACCACTGAAATAAAGGAAAAAGGTAAAGGTTCAGAACAGAAGGGGAGGCCATAGAGGTGTAACATTGGCAATAAGGCAAAAATACAGAAACAATATAAAATATTGGGAGCAGATAAATGATCGAATTCTACAAGTTGAAATGGTACTCTACTGTTACGCAGTTGTAGCAATTGCTGTAGACGCACCTAATGATGATGCCATTGCAAGTGTTATAGATTATTTTTTAATGAGTTGACGGCGTTTCTGGGATCAATCAGTAAACGTGAGGAAATAATTTTACTGGGGGACTTCAATGGTAAAAGTGGCTATCAAGTGAGTGACAGGTAGTGGGTGATAACTGAGAGCACCTAATTGATCTGTGTCATCAGAACGCCTTGAAAATAACAAATGGATGATTTAAACATAAATACATTCATTGGTACATATGAATCCAACATACTCAAAAATTGAGATCCATTATCGACTTTATTATTGTGAAACAGTTCAATAAAATAAGTAAACGATGTACGAGTAAAGAGGGGTCTAGAGTGATATTCAGACTATTATGACTTATTTGAGATGTACTTCCCATTTTAAAAAATCTTGTCGAAAGATATGTGACCAAAATTATGACGATGAGAGAGTAATGTCAGCAACAAAGTACAAGCTTGAAAGTCTGGAGGACGATTCTACAAAGTTTTTATATCAAGTGCGACTGACTAACAAAATATTAACGGCACAGAAAGGAACACCGGACTCAATGTATGAATCTACGAAACGGTGTATCCATCAGTCTGCCTAAAAAGCCTTGAGCGAAAAAAAGGATTGGCAAAAAAGGCCTGAAGAAGGCCACAGAAGATGGCCGAAACGTCAGTACAATTGACCGAGACGCGGCTCATCCCGGAGAGCCAAGAATGCAAATAAATTGTCAACAAAAGCGGATAGAGAGAGAATAGAAAATCAAAGAATCGGGAAAGAGACTCAAAGAGAAATCAGTAAAGCTAAGAATGAATACTGGAAGCAGACTTGTGAGGAATGGATGGATGTCTAGGGAACACGGAGCTTGGAGAATAATATAAGGAATAATAATGGAAAACAAAGACAGGTCAGGAATAGTTCCAATTAGTATGAGGGAATGGAGTGACCGTTTCAAAGGTCTTTTAACTGAAAATATATCACAGCTTATGCAAGCCTTTCAACAAGAGACGCAAAACATAGAAACACCTATAATGCCTGCCTATTGTCCCAAATGAAATAAGAGCAACCTTGGCCCTCATGAATAGAAAGGCCCCCGGGGCCAGAAAATAGCAGTATAGAACTCTTACAATCAGCACCTGATAGTGTGACGGAAATACTGGCCACAAATTATTTATTTACTTAATTACCCACCACAAGACAAAGCTCAAATTACAGTAGGTATTACAAGAAAAAACAAAAAAAATAACAAATCAATTTTAAATGAAATCACAAACGTGATTCACAAAAATCCAATCACAAGAATGCAAATATTTACAAAAATTAATAAAAATGTAACACCAGTGAGATACATCTGTAGCGCTTCAGCCTTTCCCGTATTACTTTTCTATTTCCTTTAGTCTCGGCTAGCTATTCGGACTTGCTACATACTCTTGCCAGCTGCTAACTATCGCCGCTTAAAGTACATTTCTTTGAAATTTTCTTAATTTTTCAGTTTCCTAATAATATAGACGAAATATTATTTTAAGATTATTAAAAAACACTGCTAAATAGCAATTTTCTTTGAAAAAGTTTGAATCGCTTTTTAAGAAAATGACGTTTAGATGCTACTGTAAATACGAAATTTGAACCTCTTTTCACAGAAAACTATTGAGGTTCAACAAAATTGTATTAGTGTAATTTAAAAAATGCAGCAAACGTAACTCTATGCAATCTTAAACAGTACAATTAGCACTGTCTATTTGAAAATTACGAAGAAAAGTTTTGGAGCCCTTTTGAGAAAATGGCGTTTGTGCGTTTCTGAAAACGGGGTACATTGAGATCATTTTCACGGAAAACCTTTTCCTGTACATGGGATTTTTTCCCTTAATGTAGCCACTGAATATATCCACGCTTAGTTATCAAGGGTCGGCAATGAGAGGTTTTCTGTCGAAAATTCCCCTTTTTTCGCACATTACATAACTTTCTCTATACTACGTATGATACTCCGTGTTTCTCTCCGTTTCTCATTTTGAGAAAGTAAAAAGCACCCAATTTACGCATTTAAATTGCCTTTTCCATTTCTGTGCTAATTGTTCGCCTTGGTAGCGTCCACGGGGGCAAACACTCGCATGGTTTGCGGGTGAAGTGCGGGAGTGAAGGGGGCGGGGGCGTGCGCAGGACGCTGGCCGGGCTGCGAGAGGCGCTGGCGGCGGCCGACTACGTGGTGAACGTGCTGCCGGGCACGTCGGGCACCGAGGGACTGCTGGGCGGCGGCGTGCTGGAGGCGTGCGCCGCGCGCCGCGCCGTGCTGGTGAACGTGGGGCGCGGCAGCATCGTGTCGGAGGGCGACCTGCTGGAGGCGCTGCGCCGCGGCTGGCTGGGCGGCGCCGTGCTGGACGTGCTGCCCGAGGAGCCTCTGCCCGCCTCCAGCGCGCTCTGGGACGAGCCCAAGGTAAAGTCAGGGCGGGGCCGGGGATGGTGGTTTGCACGTAAATGGGCTGTAATGTAACAACCAACACGCGCTGCGTAGGGAAACGCGCGCGGTTAGCGGCCCGGTTCTAGCTCAGTCCGGTCGCTACTGCCCTTACTCATATGATTCAGTGATGGAAGGCATTGTAAAGCGAAAGCATGCATGGGCATTCAAAACAAACAATTTGGTTACTGGTAAAAACAGTGTTTATTCCTGGACAGGGCTGTACCAGGGAAGTTACATCGATGAAAAGAAAATGGTGAATAAAATAAAATAAAGATTAGAAATTAAGAAGAACTAACAACTAAAGAAGAGTGGTACAAAAATATTCTATAGCACAATTACAAATTTGTCCCTGAGGACCTTTCTGTGCCTCAGCGCGGCACCGCTTTAACAATAGTCTCTAAGGGCTTATTGGCCCTGATTACGTTGCCTGGAAACTCTCCGTGACAAATGTGCTCAGTAGGCCCTTGCGAGCGCGAGGGCCGCTGGTGGGCGGCCGGGATGTCCTTTCCAAAGAATGCGGCCGGGCACGCCTTCAGAAGGGCGTGGGGCTGGCGGCGGTTGCGGCGGTCCGTGATCAGCGAAGGGCCGTCTGGAGGCTGCTTCGGCGTAGCGTAATGTCCGGGTGTATTGATCCCCGATACAAGTGCGGAGCACACCAGAGTATGTCTCTCGAAGCGTGCTGCGGTTCCTCTCGAACAAATTTCAGCGAATGCGAATTTTGTAGCTGATAAGCAGTGGCAAAGATTCGCCTATCCCCCGTAAGTGCCTTTGCACTTCCTCTCTAATAAACTTCAAGTGAATGCCAGTCTAGAGGTGCACCCACCTCTCTCTCCGCGACCGGCTCCACCCCGCAGAGAAGTCTTTCTCTCCTAATGTAGCTTTAAACAAGCGTCTTCGGAGGCGCACTCGCCTCTCTCCGCGACCGCTCCCACCCCAGAGAAGTCTTTCTCTCCTAATGTAGCTTTTAACAAAGCGTCTTCGAGGCCGCACTCGCCTCTCTCTCCGCGACCGCTTTCCCACCCAGAAAGTCTTTCTCTCCTAATGTAGCTTTAACAAAGCGTCTTCGGAGGCGCACTCGCCTCTCTCCGCGACCGGCTGCCCACCCAGAGAAGTCTTTCTCTCCTAATGTAACTTTAACAAAGTGTCACGGCGAGGTTAAATCTTCTCCCCACCCTTTCTCCTCATGTGTTCATGCTCCCTAAAAAGATCGCTTGCTATTGGCTAAAGGTGATGGCGTTGTACACTAAATTTGGCCAATAGGGCTCCGGCGAAGTTTAGAATTTTTCCGTTCACTGTTTCGAAAGTAGGTCATGTCTCTGAGGTGGCTTCCAGCTACTGAATTATTGCTTCGGGATTCCCCGATTACGATGACAGGCGTTTCGGAAGTATTCCAGCTGTGGGCTCCCGCTGGGCGCTTTACAATTTTATCCTTTGTTCGGTTGTTGGGTGGGTTGACATGAACCTTCGAAATGGGTCAGGGACCGTGGCCGTTGCAAGAAAGGGGCTGCGCGCGTGACGCCGTATGTTTTTTCTTCAGTAAGCAAATTTCTTAGGTCTGCTTTACTCAATAGAATTTATCTGAATAATTCTGTACCGCTACAGTAAAGTATTTTACTTTCTTCCGTAAGCATCTCTCTTATTTTCTCCATTCCCTCTCGCCATTTACGTGCGCTGTCCAATAGGAGTTAGTCCCCTCGCTGGATGTGACGGACCGAGAAACATCCTTCGAACGACCTTGCTTCGTTGGCGAGGTCATTGAACTCACGCCCATGCACTGTGTTCAGGCTGTGTGGTTTCGATTACCGGAGATGTAACATTGCCTCTCACATCACAGGCTACTGAGTTCTTATTGGCGTTTAGATATCCCCTTCGTTTTCCCTTCCTCTGATGCAGTTATAATTCTGCACTAGGCTAGGGAATCCCAAAGGCACGTGCCACGATTGTGAACCCCGAAGCGGAGAGCGGGGGCAGAAGACATGACCGTTTTTCTTCACAACTCTTGCAAGTCTGCCAACTATGCCTAAACTCATATTAACCTGATTCAGGGCAGCTGGGTAGCTCGCTGTGAGTTAACAGGCCTGACATACTCACTCCCTTCATGAAAGGAAGTAGTACGATAGGGATAGATCGTGAAGTCAAAACAGTGCGAATGATGTCATTACGTTCGTCATGTGTTTCACGTAGTAGCGTAAACGATTTTCGAACTTAATGAGCCATGTATAACTATGTGTAACTAGTGATCCGTTAAAGAGAATCGTGAATTCGGACGCAACATAGCGAGCTCATCCAGTTTATTTGTGGCGGTGGAAGAGCTACTTGTGGCAGGTAGCAGTAGTGAAACGTTTCATTGTGCTATAGACAGGATTATCCAATTTCCATTTACTTCTTTTTCCTATTTCGAAAAACTTACGGTTATAAGTGAGGGACACCACAAAATTGAAGAATTGTTTGCGTCATTTTATGGGTACGATATATGAAAGTGATAATTGGATTTGCGGATGTGAGATTAAAAACAAAATGTATTGTTGGACGATCTTCAGTCGAGCCCTCAATTCAAGAGGACGTGACCGCTGTATTTGCCAGAAAACAGCGGCGAATATCGAGTTCAAAAATTATATACGTACTTTTTATGGTTCTTTTTTAGTTTTATTGTTTCGTTAATGTAAGTGCGATGAGAAATTGGTGATTTTCAAGGAAGATTGAGAAGGTATATAATTTGCAAAATAAACTTGTAAAATACTTCAAAGTAAAATAGGATGGCGGATATTTTAAATATTTGGAATTATGCGCTCAACCTGTAATATGATCGCGTCCCCGTGTCTTGTAGCCAGAAGACGTCACTGGAAGGGTGTGATTCAAGGGTCATAGTGAAGTGAAGTGAAGTGAAGTGAAGTGTAGTGTAGTGTAGTGCAGTGCAGTGCCAGTGCAGTGTGGTATTAATTCAGCAAACATTTAGTGCGGAGATAGATTATAGAAGTTTCTTTTTCTGAAGGTAATTTAATGTTTTATGAATCAGTCAATTTTTTATATTATTATTAGTAGTAGTATTAGTATTATAATTTGCATTTTAGTTATATTATTTATGTAGTTAGCTGCCATCGGCTTATACCTAATTGCAATTTAAATAAATTTATCTTTAAACGCCCCTTTCGGCACCACGCATAAAGAACCACATTTATTCTCACCATCGTTCCACAAAATCGAGTTTTTGCAATTCATGAATTCGAAAGACCGACGCCACAATTCCGAACAGAGACCTACCACGTGTGCGCTGGCTTGCAATAGAAGTGCCCGACGTCACAACGTTTGGCGGGAAAGTGGTGGGTGGCAAGCTTTAGTGCGCGCGTAGGGGTTTCCTAGAGAATTAGTAAGTTTTTGGCTGTATTATGCGGTTGTCGAGATTTGTGTTTTTTATCACACTGGTGATTTGCAATTATATTTGCTTTCTCTTTGTTTAAGTTCTGGTTGCGTATCTCGTTCACAAATTTGATTTAAAGAAGCACTACTCAATATGTCAAGGCACTATCATTTTGTTTTGAAAGTGGTTCGAAATAAATATTATCATGGCCTGAAAGATGATGTTCAGGTGCTACTTTGTAATACAACTAGTAGAACCCGGCAGACGTCCTGAGCTCTCTCTTTCCCCGCCCCCTCTTTTTCCGTACTTTTCTCTTCCTCTCTTTTCCTCCTTTCTTTTTCTCCTCTGTTTCTTCCCCCTTTCCTGTCTTCTCCTTTTTCGTCTTTCATTCCCCCCCTTTCTTTTCCCTTTCTTTTTTCTCTCCCTCTCCCCCTCTTTTTTCGCTTTCTCACTTACTTTTCCCTCTCTTTTTCCGTTTCTCTATTTACTCCCTTACAATTTTCTCACTCTTTCCCCTTTCTTTTTTCCTCTCGCCGTTTCCCTCTATTTTCCTTTTCCCCCCAATCTCTCGTTTCCTCCCTCTTTTTCCCTCTTTCCCCCTCTCTCCCTTTCCCTTCTTTCGTTTTCCTTCTCTCTCTCTCTCTCTCTCTCTCCTCCCTCTTCCCTATCTCTTTTCCCTGTCTTATTCCCTTTTGTTTATTCCTTTACTTATTTTTCGTCTCTCTTTCCCTCTCCTTTTCTCCTCTTTTCCCTCTTTCTCTCTCTCCCATTTGTCTCTTTACACTTCTCTTTTTCCCTTTCTCTTTCTCCCTCTCTCTTGTTGCCTCTCTTCACCGCTCTCACTCTTTCCTGCTCTCGCTCTCATTTCTCCCTTTTCCCTTCACGTCTCCTCTTTTTTCCCTCTTTCTCTTTTCCCCGGATCTCTTTTTCCCCTCTATTTCCTCCCTCTCTTTTCTTTCTCTTCATCCTACGCAGCCCGCTTCTCCTGTCTTCCTCGGTCTCGTTCCGCGTCACACGGCAATGCCCAGTAACAATGAAGCTGGAGCCCCGGGTGGATTAGGGATTGCATTCAACTGAAGCGCCATCTGGTGAAGTTACAACAAAATGAACAGCATAAAAACCTTCTCTACGAAAACAAAGTACGTAGATGGAGATCGGTCACACTGTGTCGGAGTTCACCGTTTTGGTACAAACTAACATCCCTTATTATATACCGGCCTCCAGGGAGGAACGTCGAAACTTCGATTCGTTATTAAGATAATTTGAGCATACTTTGTCTAATAAACTTCTTGGATATTCCGAATGGTTGAGCCGCTATAAACACTCAAAAGCTGGTTTGAAAAAATACTTTCCATACAAAAATTTGCATTGCAGAACCATATAAACACTTTAGAAACATGTAAATTGTTTATTATTCACAAAAGAAATTAATATATTTCATCTGAAAAAAATTAACACAAAAATAACAAAGCACCCAATTTACACAATTCGACTGTTTTTTTTATTCCTCTGGACACTGTATATAGAAGAAATGAAATGTATTTAACACATGGATCACATGGATCCACGCGTCCTTTCTTCAGATATGAAAAGTACAATGTAGTGCAAAGGACGTTTAAGAGAATGGTGCAGATTTCATTATTGTTGACATCCCCGAATTTTCGAAAATTGGAGAAAAAATGTAACTTTAAATCTGGAGATAGAAATTTTTGTCTTAGGCAATGTCTGTTGTACAAAATTAGCACTTCAAAAAAGGTCATGTTCAATTTTTTTGGAAAACTAGTGGTTTTTGCGTATTTTGCGATTGAAATTTACAAAACAAAATCTGAAAAAACGCACCTTTTTTTTCTTTAAATGTTCTCCATGTATGTAATATGAAACGGTAAGAAATAATCGAACAGCAAATTTAATAAAAAAATTGAAACTTTTTTTAAATTTATTATTATTTTTTTGAAATATCCCAGGGGCTTTATCTAAAGGAACAGGAATAGGTAATATTTCAAATGATTAAATATTCATTCATTTTTATAATTTATTTAAAAAATTATAATACATAACTAGTATAAAAAGTATTACATAACTATTACTAAAGGCGAGAAAGTATCTGCTTTTTAGCACCACTACTTATTCAAAATGTCAATCCGTCGGTCCGTCCATCTGTAAACAACACTAGCGTGTAAACGATTTGCAGGATTTTTACTATATTGAAGCCCCTGTCCATCTGGCTCTATTCGATATTTTGAGATTTTGAAAACAATTCTTTAAAATTTGTGCGTACTTTACAAGAAGCCCCCTGGACATTGAACAAATTTTCTCAAAAACGATTGGCAGAGTTTAAACCGGGGCGGATTTTGTGACGCAATCGGTCGCGTTTTGTCCGCTGCCGCTCGAGTTTCGCAGAAGTCCCGCGTTCGGGAGTCTTCGCTCCCCTCTGGGTCGAGCTCCTTTGCTTTCGTTTATCGGAAGAGGAAAACTGTCACCTAATGGTAAGTCATATTTGACGCTGCGGTGTGAATGGACCAACGGATTTCGTCGCGCGAGGAACCGCGCTGCACCGGCTGCGAATCTTCCGCGACCGTCTGTGGGAGCGTTTAGTTATGAAATGCTGCGCGAGGAAACTGAAAATTTTCAGCAGAAAAACTCTCATTGCCAGCCCCTGATAACGAAACAGTGGATAAATCCTGCTGAACGTTGCTAAACTTAGAGAAAAAACCGCCCAACACATGATGCAGCCAGAATTCCTATTTTGTGAGACCTTGATACCGAAAAACCAATTGATTGCGCGCAACATCCGTCTGCGTAGGTTTTTTTTCCAAATTGAAGAAACCTCTGTCGATCTTTGAAGTTGAAGCTTTGAGGTTTTGAAAAACATTCGTTCAAACTTGAGGTTTCTTTATTTGAAGCCCTTGGGATATTTTCCAAATTTTCTAAAAAACAGCTCCAAATTTTTTCTTTAAATTTATTTTAAGAATACAATTAAATACACCTGTAAAGGTGGTATGGGTACAATTTTCAAGTTTTACTCCGAATTTTCGAAAATTTCAAAAGTTTGAATTTTCGGCATCTTCCTACAACAACAAAATTGAAGATATTTTTTCCTTCAAATAAAATTTGCACTGCATATTTCGTTCTTTCATTAAGGTCATGTACATTTTTTTAAACTTAGTGGAGGGTTGTTCACTTTGTTGTAATTATGTGTACAGGCGCTTTAAATAATTTCATAGAAAGTTTTTCGAAAACTCAAAATGGTTCTTTTCTCAAAAATTGCTCCATTTTTTCCCTTCGGACTTTTCCAATGGAGAGTGAAATTTTCTGTGAAAGAGAGTTTCAGATTTCGCATTTACAAAAACGCTTAAACGCCAATTTCTTAAAAACAGTTCCATTAAAAAAAATGAAAATGGGTTTTTACGACACGCTTTTACTCTTCTTTAATATTCTTAAAGTAATATTTCGCTTCTGCTTTTAGGTAACCGAAAAACTGAGAAAATGTAAAAAAATAAATAAATAAATTGGGCGGCAATAAATGGCACGTGACTGAATGGAGCAAGACAGTAAAGCTAGCCCAGACTAAAGAAATTAGAAAACTAAGTAGTACGAGAAAGTCTGTGCCATTTTGTTGCACCACTAGTTTGCCATGCTCTAGTGCAAGCTCTGAAACGATTGGAAAGACTCTGGTTCGACTGGAAGTAATGAAGAGGGACCCCCTCCCCCCGGCAACCAATACCAGAACATGAGCAAAAATTGTTAACAAACCAAGAATGCGTTCCTAGGATTCCGCGGCCGGAGTCAATACATACTTGGCTATCCGGGATGAGCCGCGTCTCGGCCAATTGTGCTGACGTTTCGGCCATCTTGCTGTGGCCTTCTTCAGAGCTATACTGTTGAGAATTTTCTTAAACATTTGCTATTTTTATTTTCTATATTCTCATGTGTCTTTCTTGATGTGGGTGAATGTCGTTTTCTGTGCATGGAAAATAGTGGTTGGTGATACAAGTTTCTCTGAATTAGCTGTATACACATCAAGCCTTTAAAAGGTCAATGCATTTTATGCCCTTCATTACAGGTAATTGCCGTCTGTGATTAATTAACAAATACAAACCAGTTAACCTCTCAGTACCGAGTAATGTATGCAAATAACATGTCAATATTTGCCTTTAATACACATGAAATTTTTAAAAATATGTACCCAATGATTTAGGAATTTGAGTGCTGCAATATCAAGAAGTTGTTTAATTCTTTTTCTCCTTGTCATTTCAGGTGGACATAACTCCTCACATAGCAGGTTACACCCGACCTCAAGATGTAGCGTCCTTCTTTTGTATTAACTTGGCCCGCTATATTGCAAAGCAACCATTGTTAATGCCATTAGATCTTGAGCGCCGTTACTGACTTTTTGTACATAGTAGTATCATTTGGTAGTTGCAAATTATTGGTTTTATTTAATGTATTAATTAAATGCTCAAAAACTTGTATCATACTTATACATCTCATCAACATATCAGGTATACATAACTTCAGAATCAGTAAGTAATGTTTCTTATTGAGTTTATTTTGGTTGTGATTGATTTCAACATTTTTACTTTCTTTGATTGGTTTGGCAAGCTTACTTTTCCTCACTTATAGTAATTTTGGGGCATTACACATATCTGTGACTATCTGTAACTGCTCTGCTCCAGGATTGTGGCTTTGAATCCCACATTTTTTCCTTGTAATTGTGGCATTGTTGGCAAAGACCTGGTACTTATGTCTGTTTCCTTGATCACTTCCAGATGAATGGCAAAGCAGCACCCTACACAAAAGGATAGACTTCTTGCAGTGCTTCATTGCATATCTTGTCCTCATTCCGACCCTTAGAGCCTCACAAGGGGTTAATCCCACGTCCTTGTAATAGCTCTTTCCCAGTGATCAAAGAAAATCTCCAACTATAGAAGATTTAGAGATGGTGTGTATTGTGTTAGTTATCTTAATGAGAGTGAGCTAGTAATAGGCATGGTCAAACTATCACAATATTAGTGTAATCATCTAAATAATCATTCATTTTGTAATTGACCTGAATTACTAAGTAAAGTTCTCTGTCCTTGGACACCATCAACCCAGTGGAAATGTAACACTGAAATGTTACAAAAAGGGGAAGAATAAAAATAAATTATAAAACTTTTTAGGGTAATGACTTGTATTTTATGTAATCATTTCTTATTTACTTCAAAAATGAATTTAAGTACAATTGTTCTTCCAGTATTAAGCAAATTTCTGGTTCTTCAGAGGATATTTCAGGTTTTCAATCGTAACTCTCAGAAAGTATTTTTCCTGTTTCCTAAAATGTTTTGTGATGTTCCTTCCTTTTCTCTGGAAAACAATATTGAATGACACTCAAGAAAAATAACTGAAACCAAACTCTTTAATGGCACTCTCCATTTCTGACTGAATAGTTAATTTTCCATAGTTTTCATAGACAGTGTTGAAAACGAATACTGATTACCATACTGCTGTAGATTAAATTATATTTGGAGGAAATTACACTTAACCTTTTTTCTGAATTAACCTGGAATCCAACAGAGATAATATTGTCACTTGGAGAACCTCTGAAATAGGAGGAATAAGTTTATTTTTTTAACAATATTTGGCCGATTTCATTTCCATTTAGATTTTATGATCTAATCTTTGTAATCAAAAGTGGAAAAATGATTGAGAAACCCACACAAATGTGTGAATGTTTATAAATGCCAAAACAAATACAGAAATTAAAAATAGATTTTATCTAGCACTACCAGATTCACTTAACTTTTTACCATCTTTGTGTAACATTTGAAGTTGTAGTCATTTTTACACTATTGTTTCGAAATTTTTTTAGGGGAGATGAACGTGTTCAAATGCAATAATAAAATTAAATAATTTCTTTTGGTTTATTTTAAGTGTATATTTTATTTTAATCATCTTTCTATATAATATGCTAAGGAAATATGGCAGTTTTGTACGATTTGTAAGATGCCATCAATATGAGGTCTTGTAAATTAGCTACTGCTGGACAAGGAATAAACCTCATGGAGTACATCAAACATATTGAAAACAAAAAATGTTGAATTTTGTAGATTATGCTACTTAGAAATCAGCAGGCATATAATATGCAATCTGCAAAAGTTCTTTCATGCATAACAAAGAAACAATGCATCTTAGGCCTTTAAGGCTCAAAACATGCAGAATCTCAATTACTATAATATACATCACAGAATAAATTGGCTTTTTGATATTCTGTACAATTTAATGACATTGGTCTGTATCTTTCTGGCTGAGCAATATTACACTGTTTACTTATGCACGAAACTGAGACTTTAAATAAAGTCAAAGAAACCAGCAAATACTGTATGTCACATTTGGAAGTGAATGAGAGAGTATTTAGTGTTTCCAGGTGCATGAACTATTTTAGTCATTATCATTAGTATCTTAGAGCAGTGTGTGTTATAGACTTGAGGTGGCAGTGTTCCCGCTCTGCTGGAACATTAGATCTGCCAACTTATATGTCTGCTTGTGGGTTCCCTCCCTCAGGTATCTTCCCCAGAAAGGCACAACTCCAGCGAGGTCAAGCACCAAGCTCCCAACTGAATTCCTGGCACATGTAGTGCATGAAAGTGTAAATGATGATGTGGTTGTTTATGGATAGAGGACGGGGCAAGAGTGAAGAAGAGAAGTTCGTGCCCTGCCTATGGTCAGTTTGTACTACTCTGACATTTGTGTGTTATTGATTGGAGTGATTGATTAGGGATTCTGGGCATGTCAACTGCTTAGGTCATTAGTCCCATAAGTGTAGTGCATGTTTTATCACGGAATGTGTCAGTGATATTCCCTTGCTGAATGGTGAGATCTGGCGCCGACCTACCTGTCAGCTAGTGGGGCTTCCTCAACCAGGTATTTACCACCAGCAGGGTGCCACCCCAGCTGGGACAAGCTCTAAGCACCCAACTGGTTTTCTGGCATGTGTAGTAGTGTAGTGCATATAAGTGTGTGTAAGTAAAGAGTGAGGATAGGACAAGGAAGAGAAAGGAAAGATTGCACATGGTCCTTGACCTCTTTGCTAGAGTACTGCTCCAGCATTTGCCTAATGTTGATCAGAGAGACCATGGAAAACTACTGATCAGAGCAACCAGATGATAGAATTCTTATTGATTAGAGAAACAATAGTAACTTATGGAGCAAAAACATGGGTCCTTACCAGTCATGATACTGGCAATTCCATAGATTTGAAAGATAAATTAAAAGAATGTACGTAGTAGCTAAAGAAGCAGATAGATGGTGGATATGACATAGCACAGAAATTAATAACATTCTCAAAGGAAAGATGTGATTAGATTCATAAAATTTTTCATAATTCATTGGCTCACGTATGTGGGGAAAATGGGAGTAGAAAGAATGCCAAAAAGTCTATATAAGAATAAAATTATTTGGGTTAGAAAACATGAAAGACCCAAGAAACATGGATCCAATATAACATGAGTGACCTGACAATGATGGAAGTCACCAGAGTGAGAGAAGGTTAAGAAAAGAGAAAAGTGGAAGTATATTGAGAAGGCAGGCCATGCCAATCTGAGCTGTGGTACTTTGGAAGAAGAAGAAGATTGGATAAATCATGGGAAACCTCTGATTAGAGCCACCGGCTGCTAAAATTCTCCTCCAGACTATAGCTGAACTAGATCTAGCAGTCTAACTAGTCTTCAAAATCTTCTACCATTGAAACTCAAATTGTAGGAGACCCTACATTGGCCACAGATGTTAATGAGCCACCTCACTTTTATGGAAGAGAGAACAACTTCAGTCAGTGATAGGAAGCAAAACAACAGGCCAACTCAAAATTTGCTCAATGTATTAAGGAAAACTGGAAAAAAATAATTGAAATGGGAATCATTGATCCCGAAGCTGATTGCAATAGATGTTACTGTCAGATAAAATCTACAATTCAAATCTAATGCTTTAGTAACCTTATCAATATGCCTGTGTAATGTAATAGGTCTGGGCTTGGTTAAGTAAAGGGTGGTAATGGTAGGTTCTTTTCACTTTTAAAACATTATTTTATGAGGTATGGAATGTTTGTAAGAAGACCAAAAATATTGTCAATCTCTGGAAAAGTAAACTAAAAACTACATTTGACTCTGCCAAAAGTAGATCATTCTTTTATTTTAATTCTTTAGTACCTGGAAAGCTCCATAGTGCAAGTATGAAGAAGATAAATTGTGTGCATTTGGTGGTCTCTTTGTTCGGGTACGGTACTATAAATGACCACTGGCCAATTGGACATATGTATTAATGTGAACGTGAAGAAAACGTGTTTTTTGTTAGTTATTAGATATGCCGTTTTCCATTCTTATACGTATATAGAAAATTTCAGAAAAATAATCAAAATTTTTAATTCTTGGCAAAAGTTATATCACAAAATGAAATATTAAATGCATTCATGAAAATCACATCATAGTAGCACTTTTAGGTACATATAAAAGTTTTTCTTCAAGTTAATTACATACTTTGATATTTTATGCAAGTGATTCAGATGAAATTATAATTACTCAGTGAAATAAAAGTTGTGATTTAAAATATTGTTGATGTTTTTTCTAGAGGTGTTTCCTTAATTTAAGTCATTGAAAAGAACAATTTTTTAAAGATTATCATCACAGTGTACATTGGTCTTTATAAAGGGGTACAGATTTCATGTGGTGAATAAGCACTCAATTTGTGGGATGAATGTGCGTTAGTTGTTAGAAATAAACATTTTACCGATTCATTGTAATTTCAATTTTCTGTTCTTAATTACACTGCCTGCACAAGAACTTTGACTCTTGTTACAAGCATCGTAAAGTGAGTTTTCAATATTTTTTAGAAATAAAAATATTATGAAATATACAGTATTGTTCTGTGAAGTTTAATTTGTTTTCTTTAGCAATCTTCAATAGTAAATATGTTGATATTTTTGGTATTTTTCATTGTATGTTAGGATCTAAATTTAAATCTAGAAAAGGGTCAGCAAAAAACTGCTGTGATAAAAAGCATTTACCTACAGAAGTGGATCTAAATAGTGGCAATTTTAGGGTAAATAAAGCTTTTCTTAGTACATATAAATGCTAATTTTTAGAATCATTCCTAACCTTCTTTTAAGAATAGGCTGCATACATTGACATTATTCAGTGTACACAAAAATAGCCTTAAATGATCATTTATTTTTCTGTAGAGAGATGATAGATAGAAGATCCACCAATGCATTCACATGTATAGGAACCACCATTGCATAATTAAAATTATTTTTAGTTACCCAGCTTAAAAGTTACTGAATATTACTTTTCCACCTTTATCAATTCCTTTCTGTTGTAGATTATTTTTATTTTTGTATTTCTTGTTTCTTTCCAGCAACAAGAAGACAATATTTTTAAAATGTTTACTTTTTTCGTATTATTGAAGAGTTCTTGAACACTTGATAGGTAATTTTTATTCCGTTGAAAAAAATTAACTCACTGAATTTTTCTAATATAAATGTATAATTTAAAATACCAATGTTACATTCTGATAGACAAACATTTTTTTTAATATTGTCACTACAATTAAACAGTATTTCATTCAGTTCCTAAATTGAATGCTTCACCAACAAGCCAGTGTCAAATTTGGAAGGATGTTATTGATATTCTATCACCAGAAAATATTCAGAATTATTTCCAATTTAGTGTTTGTAACAGTAATTTTATAAAATAATAATGTAACAACTCATTTTTAAATTGTTTTGGCACCAGAATGCTTGGTCAAGTTGCTATTCAGTGTTGCGTTATTTTAAAAAAAGTCAATGCAGAAAACTATAGAATTTGAAAGTTAATTCATTAATATTTAGAGTTGTACTTTGAAATGTTGCAAGGTAGATCACACCTTGTATCTATCTTTTGAAGCAAACTTCATTATTTGATCACAAATTGGATTCTCGAGTGTCTGCACCAAGAACTGAAAACACAAATGTATTTTCCATTGCTCCGTGGTTGTTATCATTTTTATGTTTCTTTCTTTGGTCCACATGAGAGTCAAAATCACTGTAGTTGTTTCCTACTGCTTGCCACTGAGGAGAATATCTTCCAGGATGCCTTTCACCCTCTAATTCACCACCATTGCTTACAATAGGACAATATGTGGGAACCAATGTTTTAGGACTAGAAGAAGGCAAAGATTCATCTTCACTTAAGACACTTGTCTTTTTTCCACTATTTTTCTGAATTTTTGATTTCTTGTATTTTGGCTGATTTCCATTTCTCTGAAATGGAAGAGACACATCTGAACATTGATCACTTTCATGGGCACTACTGTAGGAAACTGTATCTAAATACAGCAATTCTGCATCAGTAACATCAAGCAGATGAGCAGGGGTGTAGTGAGGGAATAGTGGTGGGTCCTGAAGATGTGGTGATGAATCCATACTCCTTTGGAGAGCACCTGGAACATAACAAATTTTCTTGGTTTTGTGTATAAGAGAGTGAGTTTCAGATAAAGAAGAGAAAACAGATAAAGTAAACTACATTATGAAAAGCAAAGGAATACACAATAAACTACATATCAACAATAAAGAACACAAGAAACATTGTTAAATATAGTTTTACACATGAAACTGTTTTATTTGGTTATAATGGTTTTAATATTCAATAGTATATGAAATTCAATTAGAAAAGTAATATATAATTTACAATTAGCATGCTACCGCTTCTCTTCCTATACCCCTTACACCATTAACGTTTACACTTTCTCTTTTCATGAATTACCATGTCTTTAATCTCATTTCAGTTAAGAGTTAATGGAACATATTTTGTAGGCATAAACAAAAAGAGCATACTGTAACTCCTGAAGGAGCACACAGCAGACTCTTGGGGTTAGGTGGAGTCAGCGTTAGTGTAAGGCTATGGAATTAGATGGGCAGCTGTTAGCACACACCTTGGGGGCTATATAGGCAGCAGGGCCTTGAGGGCGGGCGACGGCAGACCAGAGCTATTGTGCATAGCGTGCGGCTCACTAGTGACACGGCGCAAAGAGGGGTGGGCCGCACTCAACACACTCAGGGGGCTCTCCTCTGTACAAACAACACACGCAGCACAAGTAGAGCAGCTTGTGCCTTCAAACATTTTTTCCACATTTGTGGATGGATGTAGGCAAATTAACAATGAAATGCAGTACTTATGTGCGTTGTATCCAGCCATGCCACTTTTAAGTGCGAATTTGAAAAAGGGAATGTTTTGCTCACAAAATACAGAAAGCTAACGTTTGTGCACAAATTATACAAATTGTTGTTTCAAGAAACTGAATCTACATTTTTCCTCACATTTGATACACATACGAGGAAAGCTTGAAATGGTTATTAGATACTTCATCCAGTTGCTAGATGTGCATTAATTATTAAATCAGCATGCCCATGACATATAATGTGCAAAAACTGTCTAAGTATTCAATTAAAGATTAATTGCATTAGGTACAATTATTTTTTGGAAGTGTAACAAAATAAAAATTAAAAACATGTTCTGTTAATTCAAAACTACTAAGAAAATATTTTGGAAAATATTAAGTGAACATCATAGATAATTTAGATTGAAAAACAGCAATTAAATTTGTTGAAACACGGGTTTTTAAAGTTCTTACTAGATGGTGAGAATTATTTGATAAATATGAAGTACTTTTATTTAAAAAACACCATAATAATATTAAAAATTATATTAGATAAAATATTCTATGGTATTTAAATACATTTACTTTAATTTAAATTATTGTTATCATCATGTAATAATAATAGGAATAGTCTCAGGAATCCTAAGTAAAAGTTGTTGTTTCTGTAGCATGTTTGTGGAACAAATTTTGCAATTGTACTTGTATTTATCCTAATAGAGGTCGGCTCTAAATAAGATGATCCCCTAAGTTTGAAGAGGCCGTCTGGGAATTGTTAATTAAATCTTACAATTTACTTAAAATAAAATTTCAAATTGTCTAATTGTCTAGATAATTGTGTTGTTGCTGAGAATGATAAAACGGATTGCCTGAGCTACTATTTTCTTGTTCCTTAAAATCATCATACTCATTGTCTTCGTCACTCTTCATCTCCACATAAACTGTGCTTCTTTCTTTTTGGTCCTCCTACATGGTGTTGTTCTCAGACTTTTAAGACTCCCTTGAAAGTTAGGTGTGTTGAATTTGCATTTGTCTTTCATTTGACGCTTCTTAAGAACCTTCCTTTCTGTGTTACCAGATTTATGTCAACATTTATGAGATTTGTGATGTGAAAAGGTAGTGTAAAATCCTAAATCTTAACTTAATCTGTGAACAAAGACTACTCTGTATTTTTTGAATGATATTTCTTTGAAAAAAAACAACAACAAACAAACAAAAAACCCAGCCTTATTTTGGGTTAAATGTAGTATATACTATCATATTCTTACAACAATGATATTATTGAGATGAATTATTGTGATTTAGAGTGATTGAGTAAAATTGAAGTTTATGTGCTAAGTATTGCAGATTAAGTATTATTTTACAAAGAACCAGTAAAGAGAACAAAAATCAAGTGCAAGATTAGAAGATATTTTCTGTTTTCTAGAACTTTCCCAAAATTGTTCCAAGACTTTTTCGTGCTCACAGTCATTTAAAACTAAGCACAGACATGTATCTTTATCCATCTCTTTTATTTCTGAAAGCCAGATCAGCATTGACACGAATCACATGCATTGCCTGTGGTATATAAGCACTTGGTAAGTACTTGCATGCTGTTTTTAAAATATCACCCAATATTTTTTCCCCTATATTTCTCTGAAAATTCTTTTATTTGTATAAAAATAACCTAAAACTGAAAATTAGCTGAATACTGTTGGAGTACTTCACATTTCAAGAGTAACTAATGAAAACTTTTCTTTCCCTTTTTTTGCAGAAATGGTACATAAATATTATATGAAACATGTGAAAATTTTAATTGTATTGAAAAGTTCAGAATGTCTCATCTCATTAATCCCTTAAAAGTATTCTGGGAAACTGAATGAACAGATATTCATGTGTTCTCTGGAGGCAATGAGATCTTCTGTTGTTAATTAGCTTTATTGGGTGTCAATCTTTCTTGTTACTAATTTTAAATACAGAATACATTATAGAAATTATGGAAACTAAGCAGCCACTTGCCATGTGAGAGGCCTCAATAGTTTCATTAGATACCCAGGATGACTGGAAAAAATTCAAAAGCAACGAAGCTGTTTTGATTTTTGACTGAAAAATGCAAGTATTTAATTATGTTAATCCAGCTTAGATGGTCAACCTGTATACCATCATATTATGTCTATCAGATGTATTATAATGTCTTCAGTATATTTCTCTCCTTCCAGTAATTTCTAAACAAGTATAGGCTTGCACACAAGGAAACTGTGATTCCCTCTTAAAATTATGAAAGGACGCCTATAGCCCTATGTAATAAAATATTGCATTTCCATAAATATGACCTTTCATTAGCTGACAATTTGAGAAATCAATACATGACATTTTGGGAAGAGGGTCTCCAAATCATTCACCAATCCTGCAAGTTGTTCAATTTAAATTCAATTGTATTTATTAATTGATCATTAAAGACATAATTTTATTTTCCTTGTAGTATGTTTTATTTATTTCTTAATAAAACATGTCACATGAAAATAAGAAAGTTAAATAGGAAAGAGGATCCAGAGGGACCCAGAAATGTATTGGGACCTCCTCTTGTTTTAGGCTGCAGGTGCCTATGCATCCAAGTTTTCATTGATTTGCAAGCCTATTGACTTGGAATTTAGAAGCCTGTAGCAAAAATGCAGATTACCACATACTTGCAAGAATCACTTTTGCTGCTCACATTTTAGGCTGTTAAATGAGAACGTATTTAGTTCACTATTCATGCTTTCTTTTCCTTTCATGCTAGCTGTTTTTTGGGCGATTTAAACTGATCAGAAACAAAGCCATGGATTTTGTGGACATAACACTTATAGCAGGACATAATAGCAGAAACATATTAATTCACACATTTTGGAAAAAGCACATTTGCAAAACATAGCACAAAATGTATACAATAAGGGAAATATACAAATACAGTATGAATTTCAATTATTTAAGCAATATTGTATTTTATTTGTAAAGAATGTTTCAAGTACTACTCTGTGTTCTACTCAATAGGAATATAATCAGTGCATGTAAAATCAGCACATGTTAAGTGAAAATTCACCAATTTAGTATCAACAAAGTATTTTTAGAATTGACTGATTACTATCAACAAGGAAAAGCACATAATTCCAGACAAATAACTGTGAAACTTTATTGAAGTACCTAATAAAGTATGAGTAGACATGGAGAATTGCTGGTTTGTTATTGTTGTGGATTAGTTTTCTTTTGTGTGTAATTGGTATAAGTATCAGTAGTGATTCTGTCACATTTACAATCTTGAAAATATAGATAAGTTGAATCTTTCATTTCTATTACCAAATGCCTTTCTTTGCTGAATGTATTGGACAGTTGGGTCTGAGATTCATGTTAATACTCATTAAAAAGAAGTCAAGATAAATAAATAAATAAATAATAGAGTGATGCTTCATGATAGAAAAGCCTTTCTTTTAACAATTATAATGACAATGAAACATGGTCTTACAAGAGATTTTCCACAACTATTGAAATATTTCTCACAAATCTCTATCCAAGAATCTTAACTGCTTGAAGTAAAGGACACAATGCCCAATTTTGAACATGTTCTGATGCTCTTTTCATATGAATTTTTTTTACAGTATATATCAGCAATAACATGTTTTATGAAAGCATAAACTATGAATTTTATGAAAGGCCAACAAAAAAATTCATTGCCTAGACAAAATTACATATTTTAAAGCTTTTTCATTGTTAAATGCGGCAGCCTTAATGACAATATTTTTTAATTTTTTTTCAATTTATTTATATTCTATTCAGTACATCATGCTGAAATAAACGATACAGTGAAAATGCAGAAGAAATATAGAGAAAATATTTATAAAAAAACAATTAAAATCCATGTTCTGTAATATTTCTGTTGAAGATATTGTGTTTTGTCACAAAATATCTAATACATTTTCTTAATTGAATACTTAAATAGAAAAAAAACTTTCAGAATGCAAGACGAAAACAATTTCTTTGTAGAAAAAACATTGATCTATTAAAAATTTGATCTATTTTTGTGTTGAAAAAATTACATATTTTCTTTGATTGGGTGCAAAGGTTAATTCATTAAATAATTAAGTTTGTGATTTAAATAATTACATTTGCATGATAGGTTTAAAAAATATTAAACATTTGATTTGAGAAAATTTAGTATTTGACATGGCATTTTTATCACAATATGCACCGAACTATGCAAGAAGTTAAGAGAAAGCAAGGTTTTAGGAAACATTTTGTTTTAAGAACAACTGAAAAATTTGGTTTCAAAGCATGAAAAAGCATCTAGAATTTGAAAATCTTTTAATGACATCATTCAAAGCCTTTAATTTAGCAAATTCCATACCTTGATTAAAACTAAATATATAGCACATGTATTGACGATACACCAGTGTTAAAAAATTTGGTGTAATTAAAATTGTTTATCATATAGGAAAGTAAAGTTCATCATTAGAGCTTGAAAGTTTGGTAAAATGCCTTTGTAACTATTTTATGACTTTTAACAATTGGAATCACTAAATCGTACCTGTGGAATTGTTTTAGAACATTTTCGTTTTGCCTTTTTGTGTATTTTAGCTTCTGATGCCCATTTTTCCTTTTTGTCTTATTTTTGCTGTTTTCTGTCTTTTACATAATTACTTCTTTTTCCTGGCACTGATCTCAATCAATTAAGATATATAATTGGAAGTCTGAACACCACAAAGGTGCAGTTGTGTTTTGTCTTTCTATGAAAGCAGAGGCTATGCTAAAAATTTAAATGAAAATGGAAGATTATATCATTCAAGATATTTAACTTTTTTCGAGGATGTTAACAGGTTTTGCTCGCTCATGAGGAATCCCATCCTACTTTTGAGTTTGGCTTCCGATCTCTTGTGAGGTCAGCTCTCTTGATATAACTTTCTCAGTGCTGGTGATTACACAAGTGCAAAGATCGAAAAACTTAATTCTGTTTTCAAAATTCAAAAGGAAGTTTACAATAGGATTCCCTACTTCAGTTAGAATCAGTGCCTTTTTGAATACCAAATTTATTTTAAAAACTGCTGTTTTACCTGCCTATTTTAAGTAAAATAAATACCTGAACTTCCACACTATATTCATTATATTCAAAAGGGTTTAATGAAAATTCCATTTTTGAGGAAGTTTTGAAGCTGAAGTGAAGACTTGGGCCTATGAATTCAAAGATCATACTCACTCAGTAGGATTCCATTGTTGCAAAAGATCTTATCTAGGAACTAACATGGATCACAGAAGAACGTTAAGAATGAAGGGCAGACTGACAGAATGACACAGACGGATGAATGAACCAATGGATGGGCAGAAGCAGATGATCTTGAAAACAACTTTTTCGGCGTTAAGGAACTACAAACCTGAATATTTTAGGAAATGTAATCTTCTTCTGTAGTAGGTATAATGTGAAGAAAGGGGCCGTGGTGTTTCCAAAGTACAACTTTGTATGATCGTTAAACAAGAAGCAGAATGTTTAACAGTTTTCTATTACAATATTTTGATACAGACCATGAAGTAATCGTCATTCAAACCCAAACGTCACAATGCCAGACACCATTAATCATTACCCAGAGCCAAGCATTCCACGAAAAAACCAGCTCACCAAGACACCAAGGGGGACAGGCTGTCATGCAGACATGCGGACCCGTTCGGGGAGAAGGCGGGCGGGGAGAGCGGGGGCTGCAGCTCGGCCGAGGGGCTGCCGGTCTCACCCGAAGGCGGGCGGGGGCCGCGCTGGGCGCGGTAGAAATCGTCCAGCTCCCGCGCGCTGCACAGCGGCGTGTCCACCATGCACGTGGAGTTGAACTTGGCGTAGTTCACTTCGTACGCCTGGCGGTCCTTGTTGTACGAGACGACGGGCTCGAAGCGGTGGCCCCACATGATCTCCGCCGGCAGGTAGGACGAGCGCGCCTGCGTCGTCTGGCCCGTGGACTCGATGGTGCCCTCCAGGATGACCACCAGCTCGAAGCGGTCTCCGCGCTCGCGCTCCAGGAGGTCGGCCGCCGACGTGCGGTAGAGCGGGCTGGCCGCGTTGATGCGGTGCACCACGGTGACGGGCCAGATGAAGAAGAGGTCGCTGGTGCCGTCGTCGGTGCCGATTTCGAGCTCGCACTGCGACTGGGCGAGCGTCTCGCCCTCGGGCGTCTGCCGCGTGCGGATGAGTTGCGCGCGCACGCGGGCGCCGATGATGTGCGACTTGCGCATGTCGCCCACGCGGAACATGAGGCAGAGGCTGCCGTCGCGCTGGCACACCACGGCGCTCCGCGAGAACAGCAGCGTCTGCGTGCGCTGCTTGGGGCGGGACATCTTGGCGAACACGATGCCCACCATGAACGCCTGGATCATGACGCCCGTGATGCTCTGCAGGCACATCACGAAGACGGCTTCCGGGCACTCCTCGGTGGTGCTGCGGGAGCCGTAGCCGATGGTGTGCTGCGTTTCGATGGAGAACAGGAAGCAAGACGCGAAGTCCCGCAGGGCGACGACGCAGGGTTTCCAGTCGTCGTTGTCTATACGGCCGGGCTCCAGGTCGCCGTGCGTGAAGGCGATGAGCCACCAGAGCGTGGCGAAGCCCAGCCACGACAGGATGAAGCTCAGCGCGAACACCAGCAGCGTCCAGCGCCACTGCGTGTCCACCAGCGTCGTGAAGATGTCCTGCAGATAGCGCAGGCGCCGTTGCGAAATATTGGTCTGGCAGACGTTCACCTCCCCGCTTTTCAGCACTACCCGCCGCCGGAGCTTGCGACCGGTGGTGCCGCCTCGGCATCGACTTCTGTGAACAGACAGACAGATGTGTCAGTACCAAAGGCCGTCCCACTGCCGCTCTCTCTGGTGCCTGATGGCTTGCCAGGTATTTGGTCTTGGGTTTTTGGTCTTGGGTGTACTACTGGGTTAACTGTATTTACTCTTGACCCTTCGATTTAACACGGGCAGTATGGGGGCCTCTTGGTTGGGCAACCAGACGGGTGGCGCTCTTTCGCTGCGCGACGACGGAGGAAGTCTAAGGGGAATACGAAAGTTCTATCGTCGTCTGCTTCGCTTCAAAGTAATTTTATGAATTTCGCTTATTATTGAAAGTACACAAGTAGAGTCAATAGTTGACGGCATTTAAAGCATTATTTATGGTGTTAGAAATTTTGTTTCCATTTTATATTAGATTTACTGATTTAAAATGCACACTTGATGTATTCTTTGTGTAAAGGTGGCCTATCTGGAAGGAAGTCTCTTTCTCGGTAGATGCAGCAGGCTGCAGTTAGGTTACACCACGGACTGCACCGGTGGAATACAAGCGTGTGTGTTGAAGGTACCAGTATATACCACCAAAGTATACCAGGATAGTGATATTTTCTAAATAAAATAATTTTATTTCTGTGAAACGTGTCGAAGCAATAGTGCTTGTTGCGATGTGCTGGAGTCGAACGTTAGTGTCCAGTGGAAATCCAAGCCAGAACCACTTGAGTGGGAGATGTATAATATATCTGACTCGGGCACGACGCATAAAATTATGCAAGTAATGGTTCAATATAGACTTTTATTTAACATCCTTTTTATTATTTTGAATTGCTTACATTTTTATTAAATTTTTGAATTTTGGAAATTACATTTCCGTCATTCGATGGAAGTGCAACCGCCGGTTTATTGGGGCACCAGTGAATACATACCACTGAATAAAGCCTGTTTTAATCTTCTACTGGATTTTTGGAGGGTACCTCTATCTCCACCTCCAAAGCGCGGACAGGAACCAAGCAAACTCTCGAATTTATGTGTAATTAAATTGACTATTTAATATACTGTTCAATTGTTTACATGAAATATTAATAATATAAATTACATCTACTTTTTTTATTTTGCTCAAAAAGGTTTTAATTAGATTCACTCGTAGTTTTCGTTTTACAAGTAAAAACAACGTTAACATATTTTTCAGGCTCAAAAAAAAAATATGGCAACTATTTTAGAAGCGATACAAAATAAAGTACTCCGAGTGAAGACTTTTCACAATGGGCATTGCCAGCAGCCCGTCTTTCCACGCGCCGCGCCGCCTGCCGTGCGCAAGCAGCAGTGCCAACGTGATCAAGTTGTCAGCTCATTTATTGCTGACAGGAAATCGCAGCAAAACCAAAATTTACAAATACTGAAATAAACTTTAATGAAGAAAACCTAAAAGGGCTGGCCAGTAGTGATACATTGCATGCATTATTCCAGTTCGAGTTGATTTTTACGGAATTAACATAGAATAATGCTTCACAATAATTGAGGATGGGGATTGAAATAAGATATATCACGATTTATGTTTCAATTCTTTCAGTATAAAAACATAAGAACTAAGCCCGATTTTAAAGTGGAGAATGATGTAATAAAAGGTGGTAAGTTATGACGGAGGTCGGGTGTTTTGTAATCGTGAAAACTCAGCTATATGTTGAATAATCATGGTACACAAAAACAATAAGTTTAAACAATCGTATTGAGAATTTTAAAATATGTTTGTGTGGTAAGTTCTGAACGAACTAAAATTACATCAGATATTTCCTTGAATTTATGAAATTCTTACTTTTCAAATACTAGAAACTATACGTTTCTCAGATATTGCCCGCATTGACAAGAGTGTACTTTAAGAGTTTTTGAATGATCATACAAAGCGATCATCAAAGTGAATGATCATACAAAGCTTTTGACAGATCATACCAAGTGCACGCAGTCTTCGTCTTCTCGATGCCCAATTTATTGATTGTTATTTTCATCCCAAAATTATAAGACAAAGTGTTATCGAAATAGTTTTCAGAATTTTCGTAATACTCGAATTTTTGTTAGTTTTCTTATGTTCCGATTTGAAATGTGTAAATTCTGGACAAAGCCGATGAGCCAAAACGTATTCCTTCACAGACACAAATAAAACTTTGTTTCTCAACCGAAAAGCAAGTTTACCATTTTACCAGAGAAAAGGCAGATAAGGAAAATCCCAGGGCGAGCCTCAACTACTGGACGGGTCCACAAGTGGCGCATAGTGAATCGATCTATAGATACGTAGATTTGGGGCAATGAAGGCAAGACCAGAGGCCTACCGGAACGAGGCGGCTGAATAAGGGAGGGTGACTCGTGGCTCATTAAATAAAAATACATGTGCTCAATGCTTATTCTGTGTCCTGGCGAGCATGCACCGCCAATAAATAGCCACCTTGCGATTAGGGATGAACCCAAAGGCTAAGGGAAGGAAAACCCTAACAGAAAACCATGGGCAGGGAGGGGTCTGAAAGGCGTGAAGCCAACCTCTCTAGGGGAGTAAACCTTACACAAATCCTCTCCAAGTTCGGGGTTTGGACATTAGGCCAGCTCCCTATCTGCTGGAAAACATCACACTGCTAAAAAGTTCAATGAACGGCCTCGGGAAAGTAAATTAAGGAAACGACCAAAGCAGAAAAATATGGTAATGTAATGAATATTGGATCTAGGAATGTTAGAACGTTATTACAATTTGGAAAGCTACAAGAACTTATGCAGCAAATTGGAAATGCACAACTAGAAATAGTTACAGCATAAGAAGCACGATGGAGTGGTAATGGCTTTCTTAAAAAATATGGATTTGTATTTTATTATAATGCAATTGGCTATAAAATAGGACAAGCAGGTATGGGATTTGTAATTAATAATAATTTGCTGAAATATGTTATACACTTTAACCCAAACAAATGAAAGATTATGCAAGTTAAGATTCATATATAAATTTAATAATAGTGGTATATATCCGATTGTCACCGTTAACTCAGAATTCTCGAAAATTTTGAAATTTTTCTATAGGATTCTTACAACCACAAAACTGAAGACAAAGATTTTTCCTTCAAATTAAATCTGTTCTCTATAGTGAGTTTTTTCATTAAGGTCAGGCACATTGTTTTGAAAGTTTTAGTAGTTTTCGCACAATACTGCGTCTGATATTTGCCATTTTTAAAAAAATTACAAAAACAAGATTTTCTCAAAAGCATCTCTCATTTTTTCTTTAAACTTTTAGTAGGGATTGTGCTAAATACACTCTATGACATAAATGCCATGTTGCTCTATTCTTTTGTTGTTGGTTTTCAAAAATTACAGAAATGTACCTTTTTGACTTATCTCTCACGTCATAAATACTTATATTGGTAGCAATTTGTTCACATTATTATTTTTATGAGTACACGTGTTTTAAATAATGTCATTTTACGTTTCTGTAAAACTCTACCGTATTACAGAAATGTATTTTTTTACTTGTCTCTCACGTCGTTAATATTTCTACTAGCAGCAATCTGTTCTCATTATTATATTTATGAGTACATGTATTTTAAATAATGTCAGATAACGTTTCTCGAAAAATCAACCGTTTTCTGTGAAAACTAACTCGAAATTCCGCATTTTCAAAAACGCTCAAACGCCATTTTCTCAAAAATGTCTCCAATTGTTTTCTTCAAATTTGTCGAGCGGATAGTGCTAATTGCACTCATTAATATGACGTAAAGTTCATTTCGGGGTATTTTTTTAATCACAAAAAAGTAATTTGTTTGAAGGATCTCTCACGCCGTTAATATGCACATTTCCTGCGATTTGTAAACACTATTGTATATGTGAGTTTAAGTGCTTCAAATGATTTCTAATGAAGTTTTTCGAAAACTCAGACTTTTCTGTGAGAAAGAGCTTCGAATTTCGAATTTACAGTAGCGTTTAAACGCCAGATTCTTAAAAACGGCTCCACATTTTTCAAAGAATATTGCTATTTATGACGAGGTTTCACTGTTCTTTAATATTTTTAAAATAATATTTCTGTTCTACTATTAGGAAACCGAAAAATTAAGAACATTTATAAACAAAATGTATTTTGGGTGGTGATTGATGGCAGTTGGAAAGAATATGTGGCAAGTTCGTATAGCCAGACTAAAGGAAATAGAAAACTAATACGGGAAAGTCTATGCCAAACTGTTTATAATATATTGACAAGCTGTTATGAACATGCAAAAATTACTAAAGTTAACAACAAAAATGTAAACAAAATGCGGAGTGCAAAGTTGATAATCATATGGCTCTAGACATCTGGGATTGGTTTAATTTGAATATATTCTTGCTCAGCATTGGTTACTTACGACACGGGCAGACATGAGTGAAATGGTCAAGGTAATGCAATTTTGAAGTCAAAGCAAGATTGTCCACTGCGCTGATGCTGCGCTACAACTCTGCTAGCACGGTTAGGTTTCTGGGAGTGTCACTTCAAATGCTGTGCGCAAGTCAGACGTCGTCACTCGGCGGCTGGCCAGGAATTTGCTTGCCTTGGAGGAAGATGCGGTTTTCGAGCAGCGATTCACAACTTCAGCACTCTGGGCTCCTGTGGCGCCTCTACGCGCTAAGCGACGGTGGGCAGAGGGTGTCTCGCCACCCGGCTCTAGCGACCTCACGGCGGCGCTGGATTTGGAGTATTTTCTACTATCCTACCCGGTCTGGAAGCTCTGGGATTAAGCACGACATTACGTATTCCTGGTAAGAAGATTCTATTAATCTCCTCTTTCTTGTACAAAGTAGTTAGATTCCTGAAATCTTAAAAGTACGAATGTTCGATATACGAATTTATTATTTTCCCTGACAAATGTGTAGCGTATCTACGTAACCATGTGGCTGTCAGCCGTTGCGGCGCTTCAAAC